GTCATAGGATGACTTGGAGCCAGGTAAAAAAGGCACTACATCACACGTGGTGTTTAGGTTCCTTGCAAATTCATTGTGCATGGCCGAATGTCTGAACGTGGGGGGGGGGCGCACGCAGAACGGATTTGGCAGTCTGAGCCTGCAGATCTGTTCCTGCTGCTAGGGAAGCTTTTTTTGAATTTTTGCCTGAATGTGCACATGTGCACGCATTCATGCACGCTCATGCGAGCACATGTGCACATGCATTTTGAAAAATTACCGGGCAGCACACTCTGTGGCTGAGGCACTGCAGTAATGTGGATGCTTGACCACGAGATGTCTGTGTGGGTAACCTGCAGCAGAGGTTGCCATCTGGATGATATGCCCCACAACACTTTAAACCGGTACAATTAGAGGCGGCACCATATTGCACCGCCAGTGTGACCACAGCCACTGCCATCCTAAGCAAAGTAGCAGCCTGCTAAACCCATTGAAATCAGTGGACTTAAGAAGACAGTAAATTCTGCTCAAGGTTGCACTGAAAATCCTGTGAAATGCTCCCGAATGTCATTGATCTTGATGGGAGTGTTAGGTTTATGTTTAAATGTGTGGAACAAACAACAGTCAACTGAAACAGCTTCAAAAGGGAATTAGATAAGCATATGGAGCAGAGGTCCATCAGTGGCTATTAGCCACAAGGTATAGATAGGGGCTCTGGGGCAAGTGATGCTCTGTCTTCTTGGTGCTTGGGGGGGTCAACAGTGGGAGGGCTTCTAATGTCCTGGCCCCACTGGTGGACCTCCTGATGGCACTGGTATTTCTGGCCATTGTGTAATACAGAGTGTTGGACTGGATGGGCCTTTGGCCTGATCCGGCATCTCTTATGTTCTTATGAAAGATCTGGATGGTAACTGAATCCATGTAACAATGCCTATGTGGGAGGGGCGTTCTGAAATGTTTTGGAGAGTATATAAGCAACTGTAACTGTGTCAGAACTCTGAACTGCTGGCGTTTCCTGCTAGAGTTCCCTTTATCCAAATAAAGTTCGCTCTTGTTGTGTTTGAGGCCTTGCCCTGGTGTGGTTTATTGGACTTGACTCACCAGAGAACATGAACCCAAGCTTTGGTTAACAAATGTGATAACATGAAGGTGTATGACACAGAACTCGATAGTATATACAAGTGTGCTTTATGTTGACTCTGTTGATCCTATGTATCAAGGCACAGGACAAACCGAGACAAAATGCCTAGAGGGTATATGACCTATTCATCAATTTGGGCTGGATCCAACCAGCATTTCCACTGGTGAAAAAAGGAGAAAGGGTGTTCCTTTCAACCATCAACAAGGCTAAGCTGAGGATCAAGGGCCCTACGTGGACAAAAGTCATGTGGGACAGTGGCTAGAAGAGGAACTGAGTGAAAAAGCTGGCGGGATCCAACCCTTTGTTTCGATCAATGGTTGAGCTCAAACTGTCTGTACATTAGGTCCCAATTTTAATTCCTTGCAATTCATTTTAAAAGATCGCAGGGAACAGAACTGGGAAAGTCCTCCACTTGAGATATCAGGGAGCTAGGCCAGTCTGAGCAGACAGGATTGTACTTGGGGTTGCCAGGTCTTACCAGGCTTCTAATGCGGGGCTCCCGGGTCTGTCCCTGGATCTTCTTCCAGTGCGCGCCGCATGATGACATCACCCAGAAGTGACGACATCACACTGGGCACATTGCACGGCAACACTCTAGCATTTTTGGCCAAAACTCTATGGTTAGCATAGAGTTTTGGCCAAAATGCTAGACCGTCACCTTGCAACGTGCCCGGCGTGATGACGTCACTTCTGGGTGACACTATCACATCGATGCAGGAGGGGGCTGTACGAGGGTGAGGGTTCTCCTGCTGACCAGCTGGCCAGCAGCAGATTGGAGGCCCTGAAATTGGGGGGAAACCCACCCCAACCGGGGGTCTGGCAACCCTAATTGTACTAGATGTACCGATGGTATGGGTGTCCATGGGTCATCACAAATTTATCACTGAGCCAAACAGAGGGGGGGAGGAACCAAAATGCACAGTTAGAGATGGGTGGACACAGGAATAATGTGAACCAACTGGTCATTAAAAGGAATCTTGGTTGATTGCAAGTTTTTGGGAGTTCTTGACACATTGTCTTTGGTGCCCCCACGCCCACAATAGGTACTTTGTCTCTCTGCAGGGCAGTCATCCTCACCACTAACCAGTCCAGGGCGGGAATCAGTGCCTTCAGCTGGGACACCATGATACTATCCCTGCACCAGTCAGGATCAGCATTATTCTGTAAGCAGCAAAGGCGGCAATCCTATACATACTTTCCCGCCCCCCTGTCAAGTCACAGCCGGTTTATGGCAACCCCGTGGGGTTTTCAAGGCAAGAGACATTCAGAGGTGGTTTGCCATTGCTTGCCTCTGTGTTGTGACCCTGGTATTTCTTGGTGGGCTCTCATCCAAATCCTAACCAGCTTCTGAGACTGGGCTGGCCTGGGCAATCCAAGGCAGGGCCCTATGCATACTTACCGGGGAGAAAGTCCCAATGAACACAGTGGGACTCATTTCTCAGTCAATGTCTTGTGTGATTATCTGTGTCAACTAAAAAAAACCCAAAACAATAATCAAACAATATAGATAGGATTGTGCAAAAATTATCTGTATCAACTTAACTCTCCCTCTCCTGCCCTTCGATGGGGCGCCTTTGGTGCAAGCGTCGGGGGTTAGGAGTTTGGGAGTGCTCCTGGACTCCTCTTTAACGATGGAGACCCAGGTAGCAGCCACTGCCAAGTCGGCCTTTTATCATCTTCGGCTGGTATGGCAGTTGGTTCCCTTCCTTGACCGTGATGACCTGGCTAGTGATCCATGCGACGGTTACCTCGAGGCTGGACTACTGTACTTGGGGCTGCCTTTGTCGCAAATCCGGAAGCTGCAGCTGGTGCAGAATGCAGCAGCCAGGTTGTTGACGGGTCTCCCTAGGCGGGACCACATCCGACCTGTGCTGAAGGCGCTGCACTGGCTGCCAATAGCATACCGGATACGCTTCAAAGTGCTGGTTCTTACCTTTAAAGCTCTCTATGGTCAGGGTCCAGCATACCTAAGGGACCGCCTTTCCCCATGTTCCCCCAAGGGCACTACGGTCGGGGGGGCCAACATCTTTCAACTACCCCAGGCCTCAGGGACGTCAAACTCACCGAGACTAGGGCCAGGGCCTTTTCAGTGGCGGCTCCTACCTGGTGGAATGAGCTCCCGGAGGCGATCCGGGCCCTGCAGTATCTTGCGCGGTTCCGCAGGGCCTGCAAGACGGAGCTCTTCCGCCAGGCTTTCGAGTAGGAGCCGCCATCGCTACTGTTCCATCAATGCACCGTCGCCGAAAATTGGCAGCGATAGCATCAGGGTGAAAGCAGGCCCTGGGAAGAATACTGGCTATCTGCCGCTTTGGAACTTACGCCGTTGGTCCGGATCCACCCTACCAGAACCCATCTTGGAACTAGGAACATCAGAGCACCAGCACTTTGTCGTACTATTGTTATGTTTTTATCTTGTTTTAATTGTTTTAATTATGGCTTTTGCCCCAATTGTTAGCCACCCTGAGCCTTAGGGAAGGGTGGGATATAAATCGAATTATAAATAAATAAACAACAACATGGATCTTTTGAAAATCAAAAATCCCATAAACTAATACAGACCTCTGACCAAAAAAATGAACCCTGGGAGATCTGTAGATTTATTGGTGTGACCCATCAGAGCTACACGTGCTCTTAGATGGATTCAAAAGGGACAAATTTACACAGGAGAGGCGTTTCTCCAGTTATTACCAATGATAGCTGAATGGGACCTCTTGGTTACAAGGCAGAATGGCTCTGCCTGTCAGATACTGTCTGCAGGGTCTGTTTGTGGGCAATGAAATTAGTAACAGATCCACTTTTCCTGTTTACCAATAATTCCATAAAGTTATGTATTACTGTACACTTGTTTTGTTATGGAACTTTTGGCAATGCCTAGGGTTGCCAACTCTGGGTTGTGACATTCCTAGAGACTTTAGAGTGCAGTCTGGGAAGAGACCTTAGCACCTATTTTATCCATGGGAGCTGCTCTCTTTCATGTAGAGATCAGTCGTAATTCCAGGAGATTCCCAGGTTGTTCCTGGAGGTTGGCAACCCCAAGCCATGACCTCTGGTTCCTGACAGAAACGATGGGACTGGAATTACAACTGATCTCTACATGAAAGAGAGCAGCTCCCATGGAGTAAGTTGCACCTGAAGAAGCGAGCTGACTCACAAAAGCTTATGCTGAAATAAATGTTGTTAGTTTTTTTGATGTGCCACTGTACTCCGCTTTGACAACGAAGTTGGTGCAGTTTACGACATAGCAAGACTTCATCTTGATTACCCAGGGATACCTTCAGGAGTCAACGCAGAACTCTGTCCGTTTATACTGATAAGTTTTCTTGATGCATAATTTTTATTTCCTTACTCTCATTTTTAACCTAAGTTTATATGCTTTAGATAATTTCAAATTATCCTACTTATTCTCTTGCGGCCTGTTGAGACACAGCGGTGCAATTCAGCTTCCGAATTTTCCAACGCTTCTCGTATCTCTTGCAAAGCGAAACGCGTAGAGAGCCCGACTCTTACTGCGCCTGCGACCGACTGCCTCCCTTTTTTTTAAATCAAGGCCGAGTACGCACGCGCACTCATGGTCCCGCCTTCCTCCTGATGTCAGCAATCAATCCCGCTCTAATCTTTGACCTTGGACCGGAGGCATGGCGTCCAAGGACCCTGCAAAACTGTTCAAGCAAACGCCTGTTTTAATCCGAAACGTTTTGTCCTTTGTGTCACCGGTACTGTGAAGAAAATACGTTTAGAGGACACCATGTAATTTATTACAGTGTGTTAACCAGCATCGGGAAGGGTATTTCCCCTGTACCTTTCTTGGAGGGAGGTTTTTGGATGAGGGGATTTGCTGGGGCAGCTATGGAAGGGTCATGGCCACGCCCCTTCCCACGTGAGTCGGAGGATTCCAGAAGGCGCAGCCGCTGCCGCGCGTGCCTCTTTTCTTGCCTGTCGGTGCGGGGGGCCTCAGTCTCTCTGCCGACACCGCTGCCATGTTGAGTGTCGCACGGCTCCGCCTGCTGCTTCCCGGGCCTGCCCAGGTGAGACATGCTGGAGAGAGGGCAAGAAGAAGGGGAAGCTGGTTTTGGCTCCTACCAGGGCCGGGAAAGTCAAGGGCGTTGAGAGCCTCATGAGAAGAGTCCCGTTACCTTTCACCTATTCTCCCTATTCCTTACTATCAATTTTTGGTCCACAAAGGTAGACTGCCCTGGATCATGGGGGTTCTCTAGAAATGGCTTTAAAAGGGCCTCCATATTCGGAGGCACTCTTGAGTGCCAAATATTGACGGTGGGGGAAATGAGAGCCAAAAGATGGGGGTCATCTGGGGGGGGGCGCCTAATGCTTATCCTTAGACACGGTTAACTGCTGATTCATGGACCCCTTAACTCCCCTTTTTAATGTTTTTCCAAGCCGATGGTAGCTAGCCTTTGCGCTTCAGTTTTTGAGAATCGTTTTTCACAGCAGAGAATGAGGCCTTGTGGCTGTTTCTTTTCTTCCTTCTGATGCTGTCTGAAACATTTGGGAATCACGGCTGCTACTCTCTGAGGCCTTTTTCTTTTGCCGGCCAGGTGGGAAAAACCTAAGGGTGTCCCTGTCTAATAGGGCTGCCTTCCATCTTACGCACGTGGCTTCTCATGTGGTCGGGTTGACCCGTTTGCTCTGCGTAGTTAAGAAAATAGTCTTTGCTGGCTTAGCATAAGTAAGAAGTTAAAAACCGCATTGTTAAATAAGATGGGAGTATCTAGTCCAGTAACGCTTTGGGCCTTCCTTTGTTAAGCCTCCCTCACTCAATAACTGATTTGTGTTATTTAAAGCCTATTTGTTTTTCAGAGATTCAAGGCAGCATGCTCTTCTTGAGCATGAACGTTCCTTTTAATTGTGAGACTTAATGGCTCTTGATGTACCTGTCCTTCTCCATGAATCAGTGTGGTCTCCTTTTCTAGCCGTATGAATTCTTGCTTTTCATTGCATCATGTATGAAGCGGCATTGTACTGTCTCAGGCTATTGACTCATATGCCTGCGTAGTATATCTTTGCCTTACTTCAAGGGGCACGGAGGTGCTTTGGGGAGGGGCTGGAGTTCAGTGGTAGAGCATCTGCTTGGCATGTTGAAGGTCATGGGTTCAATCCCTGGTATCTCTAGTTAAAAGATCTTGGCAGTAGGTGATATGAGAGACCTCTGCCTGAGACCCTGGAGAGCTGCTGCCAAGTCTGCCTAGACCAGGGGTCCTCAAACTACGGCCCGCGGGCCACATGCGGCCCGCCGAAAACATTTATCCGGCCCGCCAGGTGTTTATTTATCCTGCAATAGAGGGTCTGCTCTGTGGATTCCACCAAGGGCTCCTGGGAGGGCTGCGCGGGCGAGGGCTGTCTGGAAGAGCCCTGCTCGGGATTTGTTCATAGGTTTTTTGTAAACTATAGTCCGGCCCTCCAACAGTCTGAGGGACAGTGAACTGGCCCCCTGTTTTAAGAGCTGGAGGACCCCTGGCCTAGACAATACTGACTTCGATGGGTCAAGTATAAGGCAGTTTCATGTCTTTATGTGTGCACATGCTTTGTACTTCGCCCCTTTTTATTTTCACAACAAGCCTGTGAGGAGTTCGTGTGTTTGGCCCAAGGTCACCCAGTGAGCTTCCATGGCACTGTGGAAATTTGAACCTAGATTGTAGTCTGGCACACTCAACTACCATCCCACTTTCTAGCCCAGTTTTGCTTCCTTCAACTATTTCCCTGGTCTGCTACAAGAGATCCGTTGTATCAGATGATGCTGGAAATGAACCTCTGTTCATCTTTCTGTTCACAAATGTTTATGGCATTGACCACCCAACCTCCCCATTAACACTGGATTTAGTGTGTTGTGTAAAACAAATCACTTAAAATGGAGAAATGGTTTTGTATCTTTAAAAAAATTATTTTATTTATTCCGTTTATATACCACCCTTTCCTGCAAGCGGGCTCTGAGTGGCTCACATGATAAACAATAAATAGTAGTTCATAAAAACATCAAGCGATTTCATCTAGAGAAATCAATTCAAATAATCCCTGATGGCAGTTTACTGGTTTCTTTTTATACGTTCGTAGTGGGGGTTGGACCAAAGATGGGTCAGTTCCTGCTTTCTTCCTGAGAGGTCCTCCATAGCAGATTTACTTTGCCATGTGGTGTCTTACATGTCTATGCTTAGGACATTGATAACTATTTAGAATGTTAACTATGTAGATCCCTGAGCAATCCTGGATGGTTTCCATCAGCAGATTTACTTTGCCATGTGGTGTCTTACGTCTATGGTTAGGACGTTGATAACTATTTAGAATGACTATGTAGATCCCTGGGCAATCCTGGATGGTTTCCATCGTGTAATGCCCACAACATAATAGTGGCCAAGAAAATCTAGTCCAGCATTCCATTTCCAATAGTGCTTCTGGGAAGGCCCCAATCAGGGCACACAGGCAAAGTGCAAACACTTAAGATATCTGCCAGCAAGAAGGAGTCTTTATGTAGAAAATCATGATTTAAGTTTGGTCTTACTGACTAGTGGTTTAAATTGTGATTTAAATCAAATCCACCCTGCAGAGAAGATACTGATTCCATTCTTTGGTGGTTATACTGTGATGTGTTATACGCCCCTCCCCGCCCCCCCAAAAAACACTCCCTTATTTCATTTATACCTGTCTTTCTCCCAAGTGGAAACAAAATTGTGATTTAAATCAAATCCACCCTGCAAAGAAGATACTGATTCCATTCCTTGGTGGTTATACTGCGATGTGTTATACGCCCCTCCCCCCCCCAAAAAAAACCCACTCCCTTATTTCATTTATACCCGTCTTTCTCCCAAGTGGAAACACAAATTGCCTGGCATCATTCTTCTGTGTTTTATCCTCACAACAACCCTATGAGGTATGATCAGCTGAGAGAGAGAGAGTGTGACTGGCCCAAAGTCACCCAACAAGCTTCTATGGTAAAGTGGGGTTTTGAACCTCGGTCCCCTGGATCCTAGTCTTACACTTTAGTCATCTCTAGTGATGGCAAAGGCCAGTGCAATCAAGCATTTAGTGAGAGGTTCTGTGTCTGTTTGCAAGTTCTAAAGGTCACTTTTCAGCTCCTGTCACCTTTGGTGTGTGTGTGAGGTAGTGGGGAGGGGAAATCCTGATATGTTTAACATCTTATGCAGTAGAATTTTTGCATTGAAGTTATAATTTACACTTTTTGTCCAAATACATATACTGATTGTGTGGGATGCTTTGAGTCCTGAGTTTTTTACAGCATAGGTAAGACACAGCTAGTCTAATGAATTCGAGTGTGTGGAACTGAATACTTTGTATGACCGAACTGGCCTCTAGTGTAGTAGATAAAGACTTCAGTGCAAAAAGGGGTGTTTCCATATGTATGTGAGTGTGTGTTTCAGAGTACAAGTAACACACTGTTCTCAAAGTCAAATTTACAGACTTTGTTATTTTTTAGTTCACTCACTTAATTCCCTTCTTTAGTACAATGGCTGTTACATAAGTCTTTTGTCCAGACAGGTCCCATGATTGCAGCATAAACATTTTCAATGGCCTAAGGAAATTCTTCTCTCCCTTTTCTGTCAGCAGAAAAGCTGGCTGGATCTAACCTATTGCCTGAACCCATGGTACTCACTCCACAGCTCATGGAGAGCTCAATTGACAATTACCATCAACCAAAAGAACTCTATTTACTTCCATCCTTGGCATGATGCCTGCCCTTCAGGGAGGCTCACAGCTTACCTGTTCCTTTGGCAACAGTTATTCCAAGGTGGGAACCAAATATGGATCAGGTGCCACATTGGGCAATGCTGCTCAGAAGAGTCACGTCTGGTCCCAAACCACTGAGTGGGTATCACTGCTCTAACCAGAGCGAGAAACTAGCACTTGAATGTAGAATTGCTCAGCAGTCTCTACTTGGCTAAGTTCAAATGTAAGGGCAAACTATGGTTAGCTGTTACACAAATGAGCTTGGCTGGTCCTAGGGCTTGTGTCTCCCTCCTTGCCTCATACATAGCCAGATAACTAGATTCAGGGTAGAAGTTGCGTTGCTTTCCAAGAAAGGCATCCTTGTTTAACAGAAAAAGCATTTTCATTTAGCTCAAGTATTGTCTTCTGATAAGTTTTTGTTTGCAGGAGGGCAGTTTTAGAGGCTTAACACCATTTAAGAATGGTGCTTATCCTGATTGGAGAAGATCGTTACAAATGTATTTTTTTTTAATTGGATGTTCTTATTTTATAGGTTATCTGGAACGGTTTAAGTCAAGATATCCTTAGAGGTGTAACAAGCCGGAAATATGCGTAAGTATTCTCAAGAAACAGGTTGGCAATAACTAATGTTTGTTGTTGAAGTCGTGCAGGTGTCTTAAGAGTTTGGAGAAGGCTGCTGCTCAGCGGGTCTTTGTGAAAATTCCCAGTGTCTCATGTTGTAACTTGAAGACAGCATGATGGCTTTAAACAAAAACAAGATTTTAAGTTTTTTCCTGTTTGGTGTTAAAAACCATTTCCCAATCCAGAGCCCCGTGGGTGCTGAAACCCATACATTTCAGAAGAATTCAGAACTAACCTTGTCATTTTTAATGTTTATATTTCTCCCACTTTTCCTAAGGGCCTTGGGGTATTTTGTATCTCTAACCTCTTTTGGGGTCAGCATCTGTGTCACGATTAGATATAATGTACTACGTTTGACTTTGAAGTTGGAACAAATATTCAGTGAAAATCTAATTTAAAAAAATGTTTCATTTTAGTCTTTCTGTTGTATTTACAGTCCCGTAGATAGCAAATACATATCCATCTGTGCAAAAACGTGCAAAGGGATTGATCAAAGTTTCTAGAAAAATCAGATCGTTTCACAACAATAAATGATCAAAATACAGCTATGTCAAACCACTGTAAATATATATTAGAACACAATTTAATTAATGCAAATTTACTAACACATAAGTGCACAGTCATGCATAACCGCATAATTGAAATGCAATTTAATTCATGCAAATTTACTAATGCATAACTGCAGAACAGTTAAAAACTAATCCATAAAGAAGCCCCAACTAGCAATTCCATACTTGGGAAACTCAGAATACTTTACAGCTACACTGAAAATACACCTTTGGAGTACTAAACTTTTTGATTTAGTCTCCGTTGGAAGTTCTGGTTGTAGAAGTTTTGTGGCACAATTTTTCTTGCAAAGGGAGAACTGACCTTGATTTCCTGAGAATGTGAATTACAAATCAGAAGTATTGGCCCCACATGAGGACCAAAGATGAAAGCATTTCTTAATGAAGGACTTCCATATTACATTTGGGAAGATTTGATTAGCAGCAACTCCTTGACATTCAACAACTCACTTTAACCTATAGATTTGTGTTAGCAATTTTCAGCTGAGTTCTCAAACATATCTGAAGTTTTTCAGTATGCACAATCCAGCCATTTCCTTTTCTTGACTGTAGTAAGTCTTTGTGCAAAAGATGGCTTGAAGTTGCGTGTATCCACACAGGCCCTTTCTGGAAAGTCATATTTAATTGGTTTTAATTGTTAACTGTGGATTGTATTAATATTGATGGAACCCGCATGAGCCTGCTTGCGGGAAAGGTGGGATACAAGTCTAATTTTTTTTTAATTCTAAAAGCGAGCATTCTGCTGCTGTTGTAAAACACATCCCTTGGTCCCTCATTTGTCCCTCTTTATATTGGTTGATCATTTTGGAAACAGGATGCATAAGCTACTTGATGCCCTTCTTGAGGAAGTAATTGTTATCTGTGTCAGTGACTCCCTCATTTTAAGGACTTCTTGGTTTGTGATACGTCTTAATTTTGACCTTTCAGCTCAGACGCAATCAAAGGTGCAGTCATCGGTATCGATCTCGGCACCACCAACTCCTGTGTGGCCGTCATGGAAGGAAAGCAAGCTAAAGTGAGTTGAAATCACTGGTGGTCCAGTTTAGGAAACCTGCCTTCTT